AATCGAGAACGGCAAAAATTTCGATCCGAGGAGGCATTTAATTGAAGTTCCGCAAGTAAACCCAAACTTTAACGAGTACCTCAGACCGCAAACAACCCAGTGGGGCCACCTACTTTGAATTGCCTGGCTCTGAGAGTCAAACATTCTACCCTACACATACAATGAAGTTATATTATAAAAGGCCGACACGTTGGCAGGGGTTTATTCAGTGTGATTGTCAGGTGGTGCGTTTAATCAAAAAGTGAATCATTCGTGAAGGCGATTTATGTGCTTTGAAGTGCCACGGTGATACAAATGCAACGTCTAATTTTGTTGTTAATGTTTCAGATAGGGTGCAAAATTTGTCATATTATTCCCGTAACTCTTTGTTTGACCATACTGACTTCCGTTAGAACGCTGTTCAGTTCGCCTCTCAGCAGTAAGCATCTAGGATATTGCATACACCTACTAATTGGTATTTACTGTTTACGCCGCTTACTGCAGCATTATTTTTTGTTTAGGATAACACGTGAACCTTTTAACCTTCCGGATATTTTTTAATGTTCTTCCTTTTCGGCGTGTCTGCCTGCTAGGATCTAAGCCGTTACTGTTATAAACACAGGGCGTAATAAGAATTTGGTCGCTAGTATTTGTTTTCGATGTCAATTAGTCTGCATGCACCGATTTCAACGAAGGCAATATTCGCAAGTGTGTTCATAAAAATTGCTCCATTTTAAATAAAAATTTCAAGTAAGTATTATTTAGATGAATAATTAAAAGGCTAAAAAGTTTATCCTTTGGCTCGCTCTGCACGCATTAATGTAGTAAATAATGATAAGGGCTTGGTAGGAATTCTCACGACACATTTTAAAGTACAAGTTACCTTTGCTGATGATGTTTGTGTCATATCAGTTCGGGAGCAAAGTGCATCCGTACTCGATCAAGATAAGAAGAAGTAGCGTTTTACTTCCTCTGACATGACGCTTCGCACACCATTGCACTTATAACGACAAATTGTACACAGTTAATGGTTTTTTCGCATGCACTGTAGGATCTAAAAATGGCTTTGGCACTGCTGTGGGACCGAAGTACTTATAATTGTGCTTAAATAAAATCGTAGGAGGCTTGGTGCAATTGAGACCTCTCCAATTTCGGGTCGGTCAGCCTTCTCAAGAAGCCTGATGGGAGGACTTCTCATACCGAGTTCAAGATGGTCTTGTGAGTCGGGCGAGCAACATGAGGTTGTATGGCGTTGTCATGCAGCCACATGACTTGCTTACTTTCTTGCCCAGTAAACGGCCATTTCTGATCACAATCTTTGCTAAGTTTGTTCACTTGTTGGCTGTGGCCTTTAGCAGTCAATGCCTGACCAGTTTCGAGTTCATTTTAAAGTGCACTCTTCATGTCCTACCATCACGCACACAGGAGAACCTTCTTCCTCAAGTGGATATCCGGTTTCGTCTCCAAGACCATCCTATCGAGATGCAAAAAACCGTAGCCCCACTTTTGTAGTATATGAAAGTCGTGAAATTTTGAATCATTAGGAAATAAAACAAGGTTTGTTTTAAGTGGTGACCTCATTTTAGGCTATAGAATCTAAACACCGTGCTGGCTAGAAAACTTCCAGCAAATTTGATAGGACAGCCAAAAACGAGGCAAAACCAGTACAATTTCTAAGGCCAAAACGACGGGTAGCTGCAAAAAACAAACAGGATGTTTTAAGATTGGGAAATGCTAAGTGAAAACCAGTACCAGTCTGAAGTTAACCTTAAACTTATATTATTTCGTTGAAAACATTAAACAGACAATGCGTTGTTCGATATTTTAGCTTGGATAAGTAACGTTAATGAGTATAGGCCGCTATTTTGAATAATGTTGTTGCAAGTATCAATTGTAGGATTAACTGTAACCACTGTTAAATTTGAGAAAAAGTGATACATTAAAAAGTAAAAGAGAATGCGGTCAGATGTACTAATCTCATTACCCGTCTTTATTGCTACCCAGTGACTACTTGAACAAAGCGAAAATTCGAGAAGATGAGGTAGACACAACTGATTATTCAGTCTAAAGGCAATCTGACATGTGTGTGAGTGAGCGTATTTAAAGGGTACTCGTGCAAATGGTGAACATAAGAGATGTGTGGGGACCGTTGAACTGTTACGAGGGAGGCGAAAGAACAAACACCCTGTAGATAAACATTTTCAAGCAACAAACTGATTTTGAAGCATGTGAATGAGTTAGTTAATAGTAGCTAAGTTGAAACCTGGGGAGTTCGTAAAAGGTGCAAAGCATTTTAAGCCTGATCACTAACGAAAACAACTCAACGCGTCATGCATCCAGATTTTTAACACAAAATGAAACTCAATAAAGTGAATATTATTTGGTTCTGTGAAATGTTTCCCATAAAATAGCCTAATAAACCAGTTAAGCAAATAACATATTATAAGTATGAGTGATTACACCCGCAAGAGCTGGGAAACTTAACAGAGGGAAAAAGCAGTCAATTGCTATCTCCCTTGAGAATTGCTTCGAAAGGCAGACTAACAGTGGGCTGACTTTCGGTCATAAGTTTGTCTACCGTGATGAAACATACCTGAAATCGTTAAACATATTTATCTTGTTACATCTAGAAATTGATGTGTGTGCGAAATATGCGAATAAAAGCATAAATTGGTTGTTCTAATGATACCCATTTATAAATAAAAATTTTTAGCAATTAACATGCGTTTTATGCCGAGAAATGTGCCAGGTGAGTTGCTAGCGCCGTCATGTTAGATGACAAAAAAATCCTATTGTTTCAACAAAACATGAAAAAAATAACAGGAAATGTGGCTGACAATGAATCTCTTTAGCCGGTTGCAAACATCGTATTCAACAAAACAACCCATTTTTCCCTTGGAGTAAAATGTAGTTAGAAACGTATTTATCAAATCTGTTAAAAATTTTTGGGCTAATCACTTAACTTATTACTTTTGGCATCTATTAGAAAAGATGGGAACTTTACTGCATTAAGCAAAGTCCTGTTATCGAAGTTTGACAATTTAAAGAAATCAGGAAAAACACGGACTTATGGGAGAGTGTATCATTATTAACTACTTTTGTGTTTCTATCCAAAATATTAATTAAGTGTTTGCCTTAATTTGAACGCACCAAGCAAAAATTTAATAAATGTCACCTAAAATTAAAAAAAATTTGAGGCATCCAAGTTAGAATTAGCTTACCGAATTAAACTGAAATATTGGCTGAAACCCTACGGAACAATATCAGTGTAAAAATATACTATCAAGATTTTCCGTAAGGCAATCAAAACGGTTAAATATCCCATTGAAGTTTTCTGGCTTAATTGCATCCAGTTTTCGGGGTGTCGTTTCTTTGACCACAAATAAAGAAATTAGGTCACATATAATTGATTTCAAGCTAGATCAGCATTTGTTTATTGATTGCTACTAAATTCTAATGTTACGATCAATCGCCTTTAATAGAAATACGCTATAATATATTTAATAAGCACCAGAATGCTTTTTTAAATTTTATCTAATTGATTGTGTTTATGAAACTAAACAGACCACTTAAATATTTTTAGACAATTTTAAGGGTGTTTTTAAATGTCTACCTATTCATAGTGACACCAAAGTTATGCATATTTTATTCAAATGGAATTATGCGGTCTGATGTTACTCTTAAGGTCAATAAAATGATTGAATTCCTAAAGGTCAGCTATTTAACATTAACCCGCGTGTACACGCTTGGGATCTACGAGTGTCGGTAAAGGCAATGTCCCTTGTGTACTTCATAAATTTCATTTGTCCTGAAATTACTTAACGTGACTTAATTTGCACTTCTATAGGAATTTTGCTCATGCCAAATCCTGGTAGGCCTTTTTGTCTTCTAATTAGGAGTTTAAGTTAGCATCAAACTAACTGGAAAATTTAGTAGATTAAAGAGAAAATTGGTGATGCTTGTAGACATTTAACAAAAGACGCATTTTTTGTTTCCTGATGTATCATGTTCATAGAAAATGTGGTTGAGTTTATCCATTTAGCTACAATTACAATAGTCGACAAAACCTGTGTTTATTCATCCTGTTTTTGTCGAAGTTTCATCTCCGATATACTTTGAGGAGGTCTTGTAGCCTAAATTGGGCCACTAATTTCTAAAATTAATCTATAGTGGTCGAAATGACTGTTGAGGTGTCAGTATATGATCTTGAACGACGCCGAGGCCACTGCGTTGAATTGTCCCATCTGCGCTCCTCAAATATCAGAGACGACAAGAAAACTAAAGATGGTGGATACAACCGTTTACTAGATAGCTCAAACTCACTGTGTTGCACGCAGGTAGTGTGTTATTGCGGATGGTCCTGCGTGGCTTAAATTGGAGGGAGGGCAGTGTCGGCAAATTCAGCAACCGGACTAGTTGATGCGAATCGACGCAATTTACCATAGGACGCTGATAGATTGTTGAGGTAGAGAAAAAAGGTAAAATGTTCGAATTAACATGAATGGATGCCACTCTATTAAGGTGGTCAAAAAGCGACTATGTCCTGCAGTTCACCTGCCTATTAAGACGCAGGTTTTGGTGCTCACACATAAGGTTTTACAATATACTGAAGCGAGAGCAGCTAGCAAGCACGAGGGAACACGGTTGAATTGATTTGTGTGAATACGCCTCATGTAACTATGTTCGCTTAGTGATTGATATTAATCACTCATATATAACTTGGTGACTTGTTGCTCCGCGCAACCAAGACGCTACTGCATTAACAAATCTCTCAAACTGCTATTTATCTGCGTCTCCTCTCTTGTCTCATTTCCTTATTCGGTGCCTCGCGTTGCATCTCACCACAACAACCCTGTGTATCTAACGCGGTTTAGGTGAATTGCATGTTATCCTCTAGAGTGCTGAAGTAAGCCAGGGAATCTGCACATAAAACAGTAAAAGTACATGCTTCTGCCTATCTGAGATAAATAGTTGTGAGGAATTTTTGCTAATTGTTGTCTTGGAAGGGCAGGAGCCGCAAAATGCCTCCAGTTGTGTGTCGTCACTTTTTGGCTGGGTTCTGCCGCAATGGTGAGGAATGCGCGTTCGCCCACATCACTCCTCGCTCTCCCCAGGTGCCATCTCATAGGTACTCGTCCTCACCCAATGCACGGTAAGTCAAGAATCTCTGATTACTTTATTGCCCAAGAACTTATGGTAAATTTCGGGTCGAAATGGATTCTAAGGCTAGCAAAGCGTAAAAAAATTCCTTAAAAGTAGGCAAGTTGAATTAATTAGCAAAATAAGTGGTTCTGTCCTCCAGCCAATTACATGATAATAGAGACTTTGGGTTAATTTCCTAACTCAGTAAAGGTGAAATCATCTTAGTGAGTAACTGGGATATCCATAATCCCGTAGAGGTGAGCTAATTTTGAGCTAACTTGGGTGTTTCTTTGATTTGGCGCCATGTAAAGAATTTGGCTCAATGAGAACCCCGACATGTTCTATTGTAGTGTTGGTGCCAATTAAGAGACTTGAATCGATTCTTGCATGTTCTGTTTGTTGGTTCATCGAAGATCAACTAAAGTTTGTATCTGTGAATTAATAATTTGCCAATTAAAGTCCTGAATTTATTGGTGTTATTGTTAATTCAGAGTTTTTCCGGTCGGGACTACAGCGACTTCTAACACAACCTGGAGCGCTGAAACTCCGCGAATTTGTCGATTCTACTTAATGGGACACTGTGCATATGGCGCCGGTTGTAGGTTCCTTCATCCACGTAATAAAGGTAATCTGTTTGTTTATCTAGGAAAAGCCACGACAAAATCGCCTTTTATTTTCTTTTGTCTAGGATTAAGACGGCTGAGTGACCTCATTTGTTGGAGTTAGACGCAGCTTAGCCTGTCGATGATGTACAATGCACGATATGAGCTGTTGTAGCTCTGTAGAGACCTTAAATTGCCTCATCCGTACACAAATATTGTTCTGTCAAATTTAGATTAACCGATTACCATCAGGTTTGATCTGAGCTGTTAATTGTTTTTAAATAAGCAAGTTTAATTTTTCCAACTAAAGGTACTGCATTTATCTTTGAACGGCGACGAAAGATATCGCCTTGATAAGCTGTTTTTTAAAATTCTTATATTTGGATAGATTTGGGGGCATTAAATGAACATTTTTTATCAATTCTGAAAGCACATAAGGAACATTTACTATCTACGTATTTAAATTTATAAGTATTATTATCTATACTTATCGGTGCACTACTTGAAAAACTGCTAAGACAGTGATTGAACGAAAAAAAATGTTGATAGACCATGCGTAACAATCGGTTAATTTTATTTTTCATTGCACTGAGAAGCGCAGATTTACTTCTGTGACATTCTGACTACGTTATATTTGGTAATAAGTTCCTAATTTTATACTTTTCTAGATGGCTTTGGTTAGTTTTGTCTAAATGTTTCGTGGTTTTGCGAAATATGCCCTGTCTGTTATCGGAAGGTCGCAGGTCATTTAGTGACAAATTCCCTGCGAGCATCATTGTGCCTTTCCACTTTTTAATAAAGTAATTTGAAGACAAAAATTAACGTGGAATTTGATCAAGCGTGCGTATATGTCTCTTTTTTCTTCATTTGTTTGAGTGGAGATGCTCAACTTTTTTTTTCACATAACTGTAGATGATTCGTTGAAATCTCCACCCAATTGGATCAATTATCAAAATGACGAATCAAATACCCGGTCCGATCGCTTTCACTTTCGAAAAGCAGATAGCGTGGGGTCTACGCCCCTTTCGGGCTTCTCTTTCAAGCAGACATATGAATCACTTCAAGCCAAAGACCCCGTCCCTGTTGCGCCTCAAACTCTAGAGTCGTTCGGCTACAAGCACGAGGAAGTGTATTCCGCTAAGGAAAGTCTCTCGCGAGACGATCTTCAGGCTTATTCAGAGCTGGACGATGATTTCTCAACCATTCCTCTCCTCCCCCCACCATTAGAATACTGTACATAAGAAATTAATGCTGTTTTTAACAGAACGTACTCCTGCACTTTTGTCTCTATGTGCTTCAGCGTATCATTATGGTTTCCACACTAGTGTAGAATCGCAGTAGTCATTAGTAGCTGGTGACTTGTAGGACACACAAATTAGGCGTGTGATTTTTTTATACTAGGCATCGTGGGTTGTCAAGTTCCCAGGGGACATGCCGAGAGTGTTGCTAGTAAATTAATGCGCATTGTGTGAGTGGTCACTGACCAGTGCCTTGTCTTACGTGAGTGGTATAAATCGCCCATAGACATCTATAGTTGTTTGATAACCTGGTATTAATGCATCGATGTGGCTTTGGTAAATATACAGTAATCGCGCAGAAATCTGGCTCTGTGACATAGATTGTGGGCTGGTTTGTAGTTTTGCCTTATAGAATAGGTTCCATGACTAGCGGGGATTGATTTCGCCGAATTTTTACTTATTATTTCTTCAAAAACAGAAGGTCAGGTTAAATTCCCAAAGCACCAGTTTTTATTACATGGTCAATTATCGTAGCAAGACATCCAAAAGTAAAATAATATTAAAAGTGAAAGAATGGTTCGAGGCGATCCAATGTGAGCCAGTGGAAAGAATTCGTTATGGTTAGAAGTTTAAAGACGCAGTGGCAGCACTTTTTAACCCAAAGCCTCGAATGAACTTCTGGACACGGTTTTATTATTTTAAAGCCCGTAATTCAAGTCAATTTCATATTTGATCCCCAATTAGTACGAGATTATATGCAGGAATAAAGTTTTTTGACATTTACTTAAAATGGTGGCTTCAATTATCCGACTAATAACTGAAATTATGCAAAAAATTTCCTGTTTTTATTTTGAATATGATATTTTCGGAAAGTAGTTGGTTATTTATGCCTAAACGTAAGAATTTCCAACCAAAATTTTCCAAAATAAAAGCTGTCTTTTTTTTCAAATAGTATTTGTATTTGATTTGTTGTATTTGTATTTGTTGGATGGCTGGCTGCAAAATAAAACTTCTGAATGGGAATTTGACTTTATGATGAATTAAAAATATCCGAAGCAAGTTCTATTCGGGTGGAATTTATTTCCGTTCGTTGTTTAGGAGATAAAGTTTATCATGTTACAAAAACATGTGCATTGAGGAACTAATATAATGAAACCAATATCATAGGTAGTAAGTCAATAAATGGAAAAAAGATGGTTATGGAATAATCATGCTACTAGAATGAACCACTTCACCTCAAAGATTAAGCATTAGATTATTTTGACACGAAAAATGAATGAATTCACACATTTCGCCATACTTCTACATGACTGTCACTGGGCGATTCGTATTCAAAACTAAGAGAAGCACAAATTCTAAATTTCGCGACCTTGAAAGCCTACATGGTGATTGTTGTGGGCCTAAGAGACATGCTGCGAAAAGGGGAAAACTGTGTCGGGGGCAGGAGTGATCGGATTCGCGGGTGTGAATCAATGCGATTCACAACATTATATAAAGGAATAAGGGGTTTCGTCTCTACTTTAGAAAGGCCATTTTAATACAACATGATAAAACAGCCATATAATACATTTATTTTGGACAAATCGAAGAAAACCTTGAAAAACGTGACTGTTAATTTCTAGGGAATTGGCACAGTTGATGAAATTCCATTTGATTTCAGAACAGAAAAGTTGAATAGAACAACTGAAAACATTCAGTTTGAATAGTTAAGTGACGTCTCGTATACATAGACGCTTGTTAGTTTGGCCCGGAATGATGTGGTGTGAAAATTTCAGGATGCCATTTTATTGCATGAATTACAGATTTGTCAAACTAGATGCCTGGAGTATATCATTTGTAAATGGGTTATAAAATTCAAAGATTAAATGAATTCATTGGTCGAACATGCAGGACGAATACTTTGTTTGTACTATCTCTTTCCTAGCCGTTTTTTTAAAGCCAGTGAAATTGATGAATATATCATAATTTTTATTTTGCGTTTTTAACTTGAAACGTTTTCTCGACGTTGATGTGCATTCACTCTGCTGGCCTAATTGTAACCATAACTTTTAGGTGAGTACACATATGTCATTTTTCATAGATTTCTTTTTTTCATGAATTTTCACTTTTCTTAGCCTTAGTTACGTGTTTAAAATTACAAAATTAGCATTGTTTGTTTGTAGATGAAAGATTTTGAGTTCTTTAGTCATGCATGGGCAAGAGATATTAAGCTTAGACATGAAAAAAGTCGCATTAAGTCATTCGAAGTACTCCGCTGTGGCGATTTTTTACTAAGTCGTATAGTAATTGTGTGACTTTTGAATATTTTATTATTATTATTATAGACATGGCTGATTGTTTACTCCACGATGCCCCAGACATTATCCAGGCAATTTTTATTGGAGACAAGTCAATGCTTCAGTTTCCACCAAGCACAGATGATGTTAACTACAGAGTAAGATATCGAACATTAAATATTTTTGTGTGCATTCCTAAGCTAAATTTCATGTTCAATTTGTTAAGGATTCCCACCGAAGAACTCCTCTCCATGCGGCGGCATACTGCGGGGAAGCAGAAGTTGTAGAATTTTTACTGAAGCACAATGCACGTGTCAACGTGAAAGACGCCAAATGGTACACTCCTCTTCACCGAGCCTGTGCTTCAAATGCTTCATCCGTAGTCAAAGTAACGTTTTGTTCTGGTGCAGATGTGATAATACTTGTGGGCATTTTGCAGCCACAGTTAATTCATTTTTAAACAGTGGATTAATTAACCTTCGATTAAGCGTCGGTGTCTTAAAATCCAGTTCTTTCGCACACATCACCCCCCATTTTGCCTGACTTGTAGACAAAAGTCAGTAACGACACGCGTATTCCCCACTAATATTTATCGTACTATTTCCTTTTCACATATTTTCCTCAAAGTTGTAACGTTTTTTGAGGCCTGGTTTTTGCATTTCAACTGTCTATCAACGTATGGCCTTTTGGTCCAGATTTTATTCCACTAAGGAAACTCTTAATCTACGGCTATGATGAGTTCAAAGCTGCTCACAAATTCGTTCTTTTTAGCTCCTTTTGGAAAATGGTGCGGATAGGAATGTACGCGAGAAATGTTGGCTTACTCCGCTGCATGTTGCAGCAATTAATGGGAGTTTGGAATGTGCTCGGCTTTTATTGCTTCATTCCAGTGGTGAAGGTGGGAGTGGCGCAAACGTGAATGCGTCAGACCGCGGAGGCCACACCCCCTTGCATCATGCCGTTTACGGCGGACATTATGAGGTATTAACCAAAGTGCATTGCCGATATGCCCTTATCATTGCGTTCTATTTAAGCTATTTATTTTATTTCTTGTAAGTAGTCGTGAATCATTCCCTCATGTCAGTCTCCATTTTATTCACAAGTTCTCTGCATTTTTATTTTAGTTGGTCCGTCTGCTTCTCTCCAACGGCGCCTCTGTGAATGCATTCGACAAAAATGACCGTCGTGCCATGCACTGGGCGGCTTCTTGCGATCTGATAAGCGTACGTGCGGTCATCTTTAAGATGTCCAACTGATCTCTTCGTACTATTGGTTTTCTAGTGCATTAACTCAACAAGTGTCCCAACTTGCTCGTTACACAATAGTAGGGTAGTTCTGAAAGTCTCGTCATTTCAATTGTTTCCTTTTGGTGCAGAGATTTATCTGCTTCAATTTTTCCTTCTATAGAGGAAGAAATCTTACCCACAGATTAAAAAGGTCCTCGAACTATTTTGGCATGCCTCCTGTTATATCATCAATGTTTGTGTTGTTCCTACACACGAGTCTTGTGCCTTATTGTTTGTTATGTGGGATGTGCCTAAATATCAAAACTTTTTTTACTAACCGCAACTTGTCTACTATATTTATGCACCTCCCTACATTGCTTTATTCTTTGTTTTTAGATTATTGATCTGTTGTGCGAATTCGGGGCTGAAGTTAACTGTCGAGACAAGTCGCAGTACACCCCGTTGCACGTTTCTGCGGCTTTAGGTCATGTCAATGTCGCTAAACAGTTGATTGAGCGTGGGGCTGAACTCGGTGCTCTCACTACACGGGTAAGGCTTTACGTTAGCGAGAGTTCCAATGATTGAAGCTATCCTATCACGCTGGTGGAAAGTGCATATTTTATTCTTACACCTTACAGTTCAAAGCTAAGACCACAATGCTCTTTTTTCTTGAATATTGAGCGAATATCACAGACTGCTAGAAGACCCTTGAACCAGGAAATCCATGTGATTGTCACCTCCTTGTTAATTACAACCGCCAAATACTAAGGCCATGATTTTGACTGGCTAGATTGAGCACAATCTAACCCTGCTTGTCTTCGGCCTTCGTTTTCAGGGTAACACTCCCCTTCACATTGCATGTTTGAATGGCCAGAAGGAAATGGTCGCGTTGCTCTTGCAATCTTTATCCACTCAAAGCAGATCTGTCCGTCCTGAAGGGGCTGAATCTGCCGACGATAAGCACGGATCTCTATTGGAGGCGATTGCCTTGCAAAATGCCGACGACTACTCACCGCTTCATCTGTCTGTAGTTACGTCGGGAGACGGTGGCTGTGTAGAGCAACTCATTTCAGCCATCACGAAACGCGGGGAGGGGGAAAACAGTGTGCCACTTGATCTAGAAACTCCTGGAGGCAGTTGTGAGAGGACACCGCTGCATTTAGCTGCAGCTTATGGGAGGTAGGTTACGCTGATTCCCCGTTGAACTCAACGTTTAAAATATACAGGACTAATCGAGGGGCTTCACATTGGTTAAGAACATTACACCGTTATGAACTTAGTCGCAAAGCTGCCGTGAGATGCCTTCCAGTCAGTGGCTTATTACACCAAATGGACTGTTTTCTTAAGTAATTTGTGTACTTATCTGGTTCATTTTCAGTGAAGTTAGTAACCTAGTCAATTTAACTTTCAGTCCTCTTGAATGTTACACGTGGTTAGGTTTTGGATATATTAAAATAAGAATAGCTGCGGTTTAACTTGGTGTGCTTTGGTCAGTGGTAAAATATTGCTTGAATATGTCCATCATAGACCTGGTCCTGCATTGAGCATTTAAATAATCAGATTGATCCTAGTGTTTGCGTTGGATCTATCTCTCAAATCTATGCGGTTCCATCTGATTTTGTACAAACACCTATTAAATACAAAAATGGGGCTCAAAAGAGGAGTACATCAATATCATCATAGCCTTTCTTCACAAAACACATGTTTGTTGGCTTAACAACCGAGGCTGGTTGTACACTCGCATCAAATTACCTCGTCTAGGTACCGGCGAGCTCGCATGCTAATCGACTTGGGCGCCAATGTCGCGGCTCGTGACCGCTGGGGCAACACCCCCCTACACCTGGCAGCCGGCAGCGGACACGAGTTGGTCATGAACACGCTCCTCCAGGCGGGTGCCCGTTGGGACACCCCCGGTGACTCCGGGGCCACTGCCCTGCATTGTGCGGCTTCTGCGGGCTTCGCTCTGTGCTTCACCCGGCAAGTGGGCGTTTCTGTCATGATTTTGCAAGTTGCTCTGTCCCACTAAGTCCCACATCACACAGCCTCGCTTTAACTTGACTTGTTAGGTCGATGCATTTTCACTGGAGAACGGCGATCATTAACGAAGCATCCCGATAGTGGTCTTGAGTTTATGTTCGGGCAGTTCAGGGTTACATTTTAAGATTATTTAGTTGCTTTAATCTAATTATTCACAATAGTAATTTCTTAATTTTTATCCTGCCCTCCTGATTGTTGACCGCATTTTCCTTTTATTGAAGTCAGGAATCACAGTAAGATTGGCACGGTATGACTACTAAGATAAATCAAGCTTTCTACACGCCATTGATAGCTGAACTGTTCGTTAGAACATGGTTCCTGTAGTAAGAGTGTAGGTAACCGTATCAGATGGATCAATGAGTTAAAAGTTAGGGTTAAAATATCTTGCATTTTAAAGGCAGCTCCCTTCCTCTTTGAATTAATTGGACTCAAGTCGCTGGACTTTAAATTTCCCCTGTTCTTGCACCTGTCTTCTTCTTTTACGTGGCTACTCGCGGTTATTATCTCCTGTTTGGGAAAAAGCACTAAAACAGCCTTCCTTTTAAAATCGTCCTAGCTATATCGGCTTGTTAGTTCAGCAACCTGTTATTTTTTCCTTCCCATTAATGCCTAAGATGATGCATATCTCGATTTGTATAGTAACTAGCTTTTACACTTGTAATTGAATGTTTCGCATTACTTGTGTTTGTGGTAGTACTACATAGACGCAGTCCCATTATTTAGGTATGCGATCAGAGCCAAGTGCTGTTGACGGAAGATCTGATCTCTCCATGCAATAAACCAGAGGCTGTTTTAGTGCAAATGTTTAGTTTAATGCCCACGTTTCCTCCCTCACCCGAGTAACGTTCAGGTCATCCGATTAATCCAAATTACGAGGGTTGTGACGCTGCACAGTAGCATAATATTGAAAAAAAGACGAAATGCAACAGTTGGAGGTGGTTGGAGGTGAACTTCGGGGATTGGTGCTTTTCAGCAAAACAGGCAGATATCCTGGGTTTAAGAATAAAACGAAACCCATGCTTTTGACATCACATCAGAAAAGGTAAACAGACTCACGAGGGGAGGTGGCGCAATGCAAGCACCATCTTACAAACTGAGCTAGTTTTTTGTGCGTGGTTTGATTGTGTCCATTAGTGTCCATTAGTTTGGTTGTGTTCAGTTTCCCCTAATGCGGTAGTTAACGTAAATACTCAATTCTTTTGGCTTTCTTCAGCAACTAACGATGTTGAGACCGCATGCCGATTTGGTGTAGATTGTGAATTAGCTAACCGTCTTTAAATCAACCGTTGCGTTACGCCCGATATCAGTCTAGGAATTGTTTTAACATTTACATTTTATGATTTCTGAATGGGGACGTATCGTTGGTATTGACTTAGTCTATTGACTCACGACTTAACTCTTCTTAGAACGTAATTGTAACACTCGCGTAGAATTTGGAACCAGTTTCTTGTCTCGATTTCCTGCCAGATTCGCACACCTATCATCTACAATCACCAATTGTATAACCCACGCACCCCATCGTCTCACCCACTTCCATAATTGCACTTGATCCATTTACGGGCTCAACACATCTCCTTAATTGCAGTTTTGCACTCGAAGAGCTCACTGCCGTCTCAATCCATGTGGAATTTGGGTATTTTCTATAGTCATGTTTTTTTGTTTTCTGTTCGTCTAGTTTGATGGAGGTTGCGGTCAAGGAATGGGATGCACTTCTAGACGTGAAGAAAAAAAGTTTGGATTGCGGAGACAAAGACTACCCACGCCACTACCGGTTTGTCCGTGCTCTTAAAGACGACAGGGGTCGTAATCTAGTGCACGCCGCCGCCCTCGGCGGTTCCATCGACTGTCTTCGGTGTGTTCTTCTCCACGGCGCCGATCCGTTTGAAGTGGACAACGACGGAAGGAGCCCCCTTCATTTGGCCATGATTTCTGGGTCCCTTGAGAACACTCAAGCGCCGAGGCTTGCAGATCCCTCGGGTCCCCGCCGTCATTCTTCCCAGTTATCCAAGTCAAACGTCTCTGTGGAAACTGTTCGGGTTCTCTTAAAGGCACGTTTCCTCATGTCGCCTCCTCTATAGATGCAGCATATTGTTTGACGGATTCGTGTCAATCTAACGTTCTGGTAACACAAACCTCTGTCTGTAATCAGTCGTCGTGGGAACATGTGTTTGGGCATGATCAACAAGTAGTCTCAAAATGGAATCATTTGGAGCCGCAACTCTGTTATTTGTCAATCAATGAGTAAATGCATGCATTGTTTATAATGGTACAAGTTTTCCTATGCAATACTACGGTTTCCAGAAGGTAAAATGACTTCCAACATCGGATTTCCTAATGATTTGCTCTGTAACCTTCAATGTGGACAAGTTGAAGTGACGTTAATTAAGAGATTCACCAAATCTTGTGCAAAATTGATTCTAGACCAGGTTAGAGTCCGCAGTCACTGCAGACATCTTACTTTTTGCTTCATTCAGCTATCCGAAGCCCCTGTTTTCTAATCCTTTTTTTCCAGAAGACCAAGTCTGTTAAAGAAGAGAAGGTAAATACGTGTTACTGCTCTTTTAATTTCAGCTTGGCGTTGACCCAAATGCAGCCGACGTGCATGGCTGCACAGCACTGCACCTTGCAGCAGCCTACGACACCGATGGTTGTCTCGTGCGTTTACTTCTTAAACACGGCGCAAACCGCTATGCTGTTGCCTCGTGGCCTTCTGGAAGTCAGGAGATTTTCCCCGGTGCTGGGAGCTCTACTCCCTCTGAAGTTGCTGGTAGCGTTGACGAAACCCCCAGGGGCGGTGGTCCGCCCCACAAGCCGTCTGCGTCTAGCTCCGTCGACCAGGCCCTGGCTGCAGTAGGGTTACCGTCTATTTCTCTTCCGCTCAAAATGCACCACTAATTGACTTCACTACTTCCCCATCTTCGACTTTCAGCCTGTGTACTACCCTCTGCACTTGGCCGCTTCAACGGGGAACGCTGCGGCAGTGACCTGCCTCCTCGAAGGACTCTCCTCTGTCGAAGCGTGCAGATTGATCCTCGACTCGGCCAGCATGACACCGTTCTCGTCTGATGGACCAAAGTCCTCCAACGAACCCTCCCGTTACTTCTACTCCCCGCTCTTTCTGGCTGCCTGTCGGGGGCAGACAGATTGCATTGAGGTGCGTTCTTATTGGTGCAATGGCACAGGGTGGGCTCGTTCGTTTGTAGGCAGGTGTTTCTTTGCAGCTGGTTTCAGGTTGCAGATTTTGGAGGGGGGTTCGAAACGGGACGCAGGCGAGCTTTTTGTAATTGCTGGTGCCTGTTTAATCTTTGCAATCCCTTGGTAATACTAATTTGTTCATGAAGGAAGGTTTGCCAGTGAATTCAACCAATCACCTGTTTCTGTTTTTTGCTTTCACTCCGGGCGTGTGTGAATGTGCATGTTTGGTTGCGCAATGTGACGGAGGCTTGAGTTTGTTCTATTCCTAACAGGCTGATGTAGACTCCAAAGTTTTTAACTAACTCTCCTGCCACTGATGCCATTACGAAATTGAGTCTTGGGCTTCTCCTAAGTCATGCTTTGCTCTAATCCTAGCTATCAGCCGTAGTAGAACCACCAAGAATACCTGACGGAATTGAATCACAATCGGCAAGTAATCGGTGAGAGTGGGTCATGTGCGTGGTAACTCACTGCACATATGCCTAGTGTCTGGTATTTTCACCTTAGGTTTTGCTGGACGCCTGCACAACAAAGTCAACTCAGTCCGAGGAGGACATCAAGTTGGAACAAGAGCGGGATGAGCGAGGGGGTCACAAGGCCATCTTGAGTAAGGAGCGGCCCTGTGGTGAGCTAGCTGACCCCTTGGGACGCACACCACTCCACTACGCAGCCCACGCCGGACACCTAGATGCCTGCCGACTGCTTGTGCGACATCCCCTTAGTCGGGCAGACCCTGGAACCAAGGACGGTGTGTACCAGTGGAACGCTGTTCACCATTCCGCCTCACAGGTGTGCCAATACTTTGCCAAAAAACACCTGGTTCTTGTTTTGTCTCGTTGCCTTGATCATAATATGGTGTAAAACAAGATGCCTGGCTAATTAACCACCAAAATCCCTAGAATTCAGCGCCCAGCTTTGGAAAACAAAACTGCGATCAGCAAAAGTGGAAAATCGGAGAGTGTACCATTTCGCCCGATTCTTGCGCTGATGTTCCTCTACTTACTTTGATTGTTTCTTAAGTGTTTTAATAAATCGGCCTAGAAAGTCTTCTACGCATTTGATTCATGCCTTTTCTTTACACGTGGCTCCCTTTGTAGTAAATCTAAACGTCACAATTCTCTTCTACCTTTTTTTAATGTAATGTAAGACACTTGTTTATATTCGCCACTGGCAAGCATATATATGCGATTTGTCAGGATATTGGATGTCCAATACGTGCTCGTGCGTTCACGTCTCTCAATTCGGTAGTATGGAAGACGCTTGGGAATTGTAAAGGGACGAAATTGAAACAGGCCACGACGGTGACCGCTCACTGCCCTTCGCGTCATGGTTCTACAATATTTTCTTATTGTCACTGATTCGGTGGCTCTCACTTATTGGTCCGTGTGATCGTGTTACTTTTGTATGCGCAATATGCACGCACTGAAGCTGCAGCTACACGTTTGTGTATTGGGAGTTGCAGGCTAGCAGGATGGTACAATTTTGTATCAGCCTTATTTATTGCCTTCATTGTCTTTCTCTGTTCATGTGGTTTTTTTGTTAGGGTCACGTCGCAGTGGTCAATTTCTTTCTGCGCTGGCAGATGGATCAGCAGGAGAAATCCAATCGTGCTCCTACACAAAGTTTGTTTCATTATATTTTCTAGTTCAGCATGCATATGTAATAATTGTGCGTTGGTGATTTATGTCCCAGCATTGCCTTAATCGGGCATTACATGTAAGTAATGTATCCTAGCAGGTCTAGCGGATGTTCCCGATGAGCACGGCCGCACAGCGCTAATGTTAGCCGCACAAAATCGCCATCCCGGGGTGATTGAACTCCTCACGACAAACACCTCAGGCCCCGCCTCCAAACCAGACACCTCTAAAGGGACTCAAGTTAGCCACCAGTCCATGCGTGATGTGAATGTGACCGACTCCTATGGGAGGACAGCGCTTCACAGAGCCGCCGCAAACGGACACACGGAATGCATGAAACTTTTACTTTCTGTGAGTCATTCCTCTCGCAGTGGACGTATTTGCCTCTTCCAGGATGCCTCAACAATCTATGCCCTTCATGCACCATCTTCCGCTTGAAGACGTGGGCGTACTTTGCCGATTGTGAACCGCATACGAAATATCCACACTCCATCCTATCCGCTATTTCGACGGTATATTTATACAACCTGGACTCATGCAGAGCTTACGACTGCGAGGCCCTAAACCCCGTCTGTGGTCCTAATTGTTGCCATGCGTGTTTCAAACGGTCTGTTGCTACTGTGAATAGTCCTTAAGAATTTAAGGTTAACGCCCCAAGCCTAGAGTGGTCCTCCACAATTGCACATCCTAACTGGTCTCAGCTACTCACAATGCCGTTAATTTTCATTTCACAGCACTTGTGCATATCAAGCTCGATAAAATGGAAATCCAAAAAAAGACCTTGGGTAGATAGTCACCCCTAATTTTCAGTTATCTTAATTCTTGAATAGCGTGGTTGCTTTTGTGTTGGAATTAGGAGCTAGTCGAGCAATGTGCCTCTTTTATCGGCATCAAGTGTGAGCCTATCATGCATCAGGTTGTTTGTGGCGTGGTCTCGATGTGAAGTACTTTCTTCCATGCCAGGCCGGTGCGTCGTTGACGATAGCTGACTTTCGTGGAAGGCAGGCCCTGCATCTGGCCGCGTCCGGTGGACAAGTTCACTCAATTGAGTTCCTGCTTCGGGCTCTGGTGCGCTCCTTTTCCGGCGGAACAGGGGAGGCAATTGGCGACGAGACGGAGGGGAGCAGTGAGGCCCTGGCGAGGCTTCTTTGTCCCAACGATTCACGCGGCTTCACCCCACTTCACTTAGCTGCCTTTTCCGGACACCTCGAGTGCTTGCAGAGCCTGATTCAGTGCAGGGCATATCGTCAGCTGAGGGTTAGTTTGTTGCCCCAGTTATGTTTATTTTGCACATACTAGCAAACTTCTATAGCAATGCACTTTGCATGTATTTCTAAGTCTGATCAGGTTCCCTAAGTGTTCTTTATTGCTCTTCGCTAGGATTTGGGTAGAAATTCGTTTACTGTGGCATGAAGTAGTGCCAGATTCAGGTGTAGCCTCGAAAACCGATTCAAAGTGTCAAGAAACGGCCACCTAAAGTCTCGCCGATTTTCGGGCCGTCAAATAGTGGAAATCTATTTCGGCACTTATTTTAGGCAATCTCTGTTTCGCGGGGCTGTTTTTGCGTCTTCAGAAGCTAAATTATTTCACCTAACCTTATAGCTCACATCGTATCAATGTATGCTTTAAGGGCAATACCTTTTCGCCGCTTCACTGCGCTGCTACACGTGGACACGTCGGCTGCCTCGAGTGCCTCCTGAAGACTTACGGTGTCGCTGGTCTTAAGCTGCAGGATTTCAAAGGACGTGCGCCCCTTCACATTGCAGCAATGAGCAACCACGTAAGCTCAGCGTGACGTCTCACGGGGCTTCCAGTTTCCCCTTGTAACTCGCTAACCTTTTTTTGAAGCTTGAAAGCCTTGACTGCATTCTCGACTACCTGGCCGAGAAGGCGACAGGGTGTCTCTCAGCGGAGGATGCTCTGAGTCTCTGCGATAGTCGGGGTTGCACGCCGCTGATGCTGGCGACACGAGCCGGCGCCATGGCGACGTGCCAACGACTACTCAGTGTCCTCTGTGTGGAGTCGGATGCGTCTCCGCTTTTCGGGAAAACCGACTCTGACGGACAGACCATCCTTCATCATGCTCTTCTGGCGCCAAATGAACAAACGTCTCTCTTCCTACTCCAACGGTAGGTCGAATGAGCTGGTTTTAATTGAAAAAAAAACGTTTCGTCACGCAATTCAAGTTTGGTCCCAATTTGATAAACTCGGGAATACCCTCCAATATCTAGTTGATTCTGGCAAACGGAAGAAGGCTTATTCTTGCTGGAAAACTCTCGTCTCCAAGTGTAGGGCGTATGGTATTCAAGCAATGTTTCAAGCAGATTAGTGCCTAGTTTTCGATCCTGAAAGTTGACGTCTCGTAGAACTTACCTAAAAAGGTCCTTTCAGTCGACTCCGGTTGGCTCGAAGTAGTTGGACGAGGCGAACGAGGTTGTAAACACCTTGGCAGTTATAATTGCTTCTTGTTCATTTCGAACTTTAGAATTCAGGATAATACACTACTGAACCGTCCTAACTCCTGCGGCCTGACACCTCTGCACCTGGCTGTCAAGGCGGGCTATCACAAGTCCGTCTCCATTTTGCTCAGTCGTGGAGCCAACGTGTTTGCTGTGGACAACCGCGGCCAGCTTCCGATTTGCGCTGTCTCTCAGAGCGATCAGGTACATTTTGGTGGTGTTGCTGGTGTAAAAAGGGGTTGTTACGGTATGAATTAAGGTCGATTCGAGGTGCACATTTTAAACACCTGACAATCTGGGTGCACAGGTCTAAATGCAATGTGGTCGTAGGAGGACCTGTTGGTCTACATGGCAAAGTAGCAACAGGTATTGGTGGATGTGTCAAAAGTATAAAGCCATTAGGAAAACCACATGGGATTGCGTCGGTCCATTCTGTCTGCGAGTTGGTACCACGAGCATGGGAAACGTCACATGCAGACCAGTTAGTGCAGCATTGCCAGATGGTAGAAACTACACACGGTAGCTTCTAAGTTGTCTTATTCTAACCAGGCATCGAAGTGTCTGACAATGATGCTGCTATCGATGATGCCGAATTTGAGGAACAAGCTTCCACCGGGCGCGTTGTCTGTCAGCAGCGGCGGCGGCGGCGACAACGACGACCAATCACCCCGCACCTCGCACAACCTAATGGGTGATTCTATTCACAGTTCTGACTCGGAGTTCTTCTAACCAATCTCCTGAACCTAAAACATCCCATTTGCACTCCTTTATGGCTTATTACGTTCTTTTATCCACTAATATACTATATACATGACCTTATTTCGACGTGGAACGAGGGAATGAAGCAAATCAGGCAGTTTCCTATTACTGTGAAGGTGCGATGTCTCTATAACTTCATCACCTCACTAGTATTACCCAACCAGTGCATTTTAAGTCAATTAAGTATACGTGATTTTGGGTCACGCCATATGATACTAATGCGCTGTAAATTTAGCGAAATCATTCTGTGCACGGTGACTTCGAAATCGAGTTTGTCAGAAATACTGAAGATAGAATACACTTCTCTACAATGTTTCAACCCACGGTGCACACTAAAATGGTGTCGTTAAGGTATATTGATCTTCACACTGAGCTTTCTTAAATGAAACAACGAAAGCGTTACGCAAATGCTTGTTTTTCAGGATTTTCGATTGTAAATTAGTTGTGTGTCGGGAGAATGCAAAGTCTTCTGTGTTGACTTCTTTAAAAACTGCGCAAATAATGAATTAAAGAAGATATCTATGCAGGTGACATTTGAAATCAAGCGGGCGTATTGCAGAAGCCTATGCTCCCTCCCCACCATCAGTAACCGAAGTCGGCAGTAGTCTTACCCAAATGCTCAATTAGCGATTCAGTTTCAACCAGTGTTGTGGGATATGTGGTTAAGTTACCGAAACATACGCATTACCATGTCGCTACAAAAGACCAATTTCTGCAGTTTCTAAGAATGAGAGCCGTGGGATCCCTTTAGTTTTTTTCTACGCTAATACCTAACATCTTGCAACTGCACAGAAATTGCAACAAAAGACCAATCTTTCAAAAAGAAAATGACCTTTTAACCTTGGCTACATTGAAGTTTGTGTGTATTTCAAATTGTGTAAATTGCACTTTTTCTGCAGTTCTTAAGCAATTTACCTTTTCCTAGGCCACTCGATTTACGTCAGAAACTCTCCTGGTTTTGCAAATCCAATAATACAAAATGGAAGTAACAATCGCTCGTCAAAGCGAAAAGCTCAATCACAAATGTAGTTGCGATCGCGCACGACTCACAGGACACATTTAGGTCAAAGTTCTACTAAACATTGATGTCTAAGTTTTTTTGTCAAGATTGATTGACCAGGCAGGAACGACTTGCTTAAATAGACATTTTCCGCTAAACAGGATTGCAGTTTTTATTTGACAATTTATCAAATGTTTGCATCACTTATGTAAAACACAGTCGATTAACTTTCACTAGAGCTATTCCAGCGCAAAGATAAGACTTGTCATTTAACTTTGTGTGCGTAAAATGCATGGGATAAATATGCTTGAATGCTGAATTGAGAGGTCAAATTATGATACGCTCACACATAGGGCTTAACATGAACTAATTTTGAAGCAAAACTGATAAAAATGGTGCTAAACATTAAAGGTAGTGCCAATACGCTGCACAAATATTTCTCCAATCGTCGACAGAAATATATTTATAGTGAACGACAAAAGTGAAATGGACACAAAGCTGGGCTTTTGTGGGATTGGAGAAGCAAGAAATAAATTTAAATACAAAGGCATGTGAAATTAGCTTTCAGTGTCTTAAATGAGTTTTGCATATCATTTCCAACGAGTTAGTTGTCCTTTGTTTCGGCCAAACATCTCTGTAGAGCATTTTGCTGCAAAGCTACGACAATACGCACAAATGTCATGCACGTTTGTCATAGGTTATCGTTGATGCATAATATTACGACAGCGATAAGTGTATAATGGGGAAGGATATGTCGAGTTATCGTTATTTCACACTGCCGAGATATGCTCCATTGCGTGTCAGAAATGATTATGTGAATATATAAGTTGTAGCGATTGGCCAATTTACAAATAACTGCGATTTCGATAATTTTGTGGGGCTAGATGCGGATGACCACCTGACATTTGAATGCGTCTTTTTCTTTATTTTTAGTAGCTGATTCAAACAAACTGACGGTTGATAATCTGTCCAAATGGCAATGGTACTTAATAGCGTACTAATAAAGTCCCTACTGGGATATTGAAGCTACAAATTCTTAGTAGGTTTGGTAGTAATTATAAGCTCGGATTTTTTGTTAAATTACCAATGTCCCTTTGAAATTTAAGGACATAAAGATAGCGCATTAAAACAAAGTAAATTGATAAACCAGTATTTTTTCCTTTTAGGAATTTTGTAAAGAATAAAAGCCATGCTTTTCCAGATCGAATGCTCAAACATGTTTAACGTCGCACATCCTAGCATCACAAAGCATCTTGTTTTTGCTACTGTGAGGTGATTATTAATATGCAATACAAATAAGTCGTAATATAATTTAAACGATCACAGTCCAAATGATTCTTAGAGGTGGCTTTAACTAAATTAGTGATTAGAATGCTCATGGTTCGGAAGATGGAGGAAGATAGAACCTCAATCATTCAATAGGATCGATTTGTGTTTGTTTATGAGTACTAATAGGTCATTGTCAACGGCTTGTTAACATCGATCGGGAGTGTTTGTATAACTACACGCTTAGAATAAATATTCGGATTCAGAAGGCGAATCAGAGGACGTACACCGTGATACGCCATCAAATAAGTCCTTAAGGAATCACGGAATGCGTGCGTAGTGCCTAGTGGCGCACACAGTCGCCTTGCATATTCTCTATTTGTTCTGATTATCAGAACGCATTCAGGTACCTCCAAAGTCCTGTCTTTGCGTTCTTGTCACGGCCATCTTATGTCTACTTGCACTTAACTAACTATATCGGTGACTTTTGTCTGTGTTCACTAGAAATCGCCAAATGGTTTGGGAGTGCTGATCAAATCGAGTGTTTCCAAAATGGTTGTCCCACTAATGTGTGTTGTAAGATAATATTCCAATTCTTTCGGCTTCAATTCATAAGTCAACTGATAAATTACTCTAGCTCGTAATACTAATCGCGCATGCCAATCCTTTGGGAGTGACGTTAGTTTCGTTAGATTCCCAATTGTGGCACTGACACATCCAGTCATGACTGATGATGCCATGGACATTTTCGTATCCATACCGATTCTCTACACTGCCGTTTGGTTAAAAACGCATATGCCATAGCCTTACCAACAGACAGCGGTCCAACACATTTTTGTACCTCCTCGTCAGCACGACTTCAAACATACACAGTTTGTGATGTTTCTCCACTCAACCAAGGTTTGTCAGCTACCATTTACAAGATTTTAAAAGAGCTCCTGATTAGTGGTGCCAATAGGACGATTTTAGCTACATTAAGTTGTGTGCCACGACTAAATCTAGTCAAATATACAATCCCAACACAATTTTACATCCAACTTACGTCACAAAGCTGTACCTTACGTCAAATTTGTATCGAGTTAACTAGCAACTTAAACCATGCACTCAGATAACTAATTCAGGAGAGTTTGCCTACCACAGCGCAAAGACTATATCAGTATGACAGCAAAGGCTGTATGACGCACTAGATGGCTGCTGTTATACATGCAGTTATAATGAAATGATTAAGGTAGTTAGTAAATGCTAAACTCTCATCTATAATACCAAAAGAAAAGAATCTAAATAATGTTATCATTGCTACGTTCTGCAGACAATTACAGACTACGACCGTGTACATACTCATCCCGCTGACTAATTATCGAGTCGGAAAGGTCAGTTCGAGCTTCAGGCTTGACTGTTTTGGGGGCTGCCAAACTCGTTCACGGTCATGGATGACATCCACGGCAAAAAAGCAACAGATAATGGTGAATGTGTCAAAATTATGATGCCATTTGGAAAGCCACATAGGATTGCATCGGTTCGTTTTCTCTGAGAGTTGGTACCACGAGCATTTTAAATGTTGCACGCAGAACAGTTAGTGCAGGATTACCATTTGGTAAAAACTACACATGATAACTCTTAGTTGTATCAAACTCCTTCGCTGCCAATAGGACGATACTACAGTTTCGCCGCAGACTGCCAGTGACAAAATTCACCCCATTTTGTGTAGTGTCGACGTTGGGCCAAATGCCTGACATGGGTTAAAGCACTCTCTGACACAAATGCCTGTTTATCTCTCTGCCAGTGGCATGCTTTAGCAACTTACGCTCCTTTACCACCAAGAACTGCTGGCATTTATTGATCAGCAGAGTTGTGACGGTTCCTCTCCAAACAAACCCAACACTCAGGCCATTCACACGTGACATTCATTAGGTTAAGTCTGGGAACAATACTTTACCAGATGCAGACTCTCCTTCTTGCATCATTTAAGTGAACTCAAAATCTCACTTGGAATGCGAAGATGTGGCAACTGCCCAACGACCCTAGAAGCAATTGTCAGCAGATCAAGCAAGTATGACAGCTTTGAAACTAATCGAGATTTTGGTATTTGCGTACCAAGGAGCTAACTTGCATGCGACAACCCCGTTCATGTGAAATGTGCCAAAGACTCTTCACAAATGCATCATCAGGAATAAACAAGTATAAATTCAATAAACGAAAATGAGTTCATTAAATGCAGGGACTTTCGTATAGAGATTGAGTGTTTGGCATTCCTTTTTAAGCCAATCAAATGTTCCGCTAAATGACTGCGTTTATTGTGGCAAGAAATCAAATGAGCCCAGCGCTGACTACGGACTTCCTATTCTACACTGTGTGTATCGTCAGCCCAAGTTCATTCTGAGAACGACATAATTTAATACATTGTAACCTGACATTAAGTGGTTCAACATGAGTCACAAATTTCAGTGTACAATTAAAAATAGCACAATAAATGATAAGTGAAGTAAATGATCCGTTCATCATTACCAAGAGGCTGAACGTCACCGAAAGAAAATACACTATAATGCAATCAAAGGTTGAAAAATTAGCTAAAAAAACATCGGTCTATAAACGACAACAGGAAAAAAGCTCACAAACTTTCAAAGCATGAATAATCCCATCCAAAAAATTGCCATTTAGCCGGGATCACAATTATCGTCAGGTGATGTGACGCAATAATCTCTAGTGGATTGACCATTTACTAAGGAAAGGGGAAAAACAGTCACAAAAGTATACGTAGTCGACTCAGAATTAGAAACATTGCTTGACAGTGAATCAACGACATCGGCATTGGATATAGCAATGACACCGTGCGCATCCGCACCGCATGTGATTTGAATAGATGAAAGTGTGTGGTCAGTTGACTCGCAATCAGACGCTGCGTTTGACTGTGTCGTGACGGCGTCGTTACTGGACGACACACTGACCACGTGTTCGTCGGATGCACAGATTGTTTTGTCAGCGGAAATTAATTTGCCGATCGACTCGCACTCAGACTCTGTGTTTGATTGCGAGGCGACGGTGTCGTAACTGGTTGCAATACTGATGACGTGTTCATCGCATCCGCACGTGGTTTTGTCAGAGGAAATCGTTTCGCCAATTGACTCGCAATCAGACTCTGCGTTTGACTGTGTGGCGACGGTATCGTTTCTGGACGCAACACTGTCGACGTGCTCATCAGATGCA